CCCCAAAACCCCAAAACCCCAAAACCCCAAAAGGTAATATCTTAATGATTTTGAAAAATTATTATTTAATCTGGCTTATCTCGAAGTTATAGTTATGGTTTAGTATTTTCTTGAATATAAAATAATAGCAAGTTCATTGATAAATTTCAAGAGCATCTTTGAGGAATTACCTTTTTTGTTAAGGCAAGTTATGCTCGTAAGTATCATAGAGAGTCTTGACCTTCAAAATATCTTATATGTGATCAAGTCTATGATAGCTTAAAATTTTGACCTTCTCCGAGAAACCTGGAGTCAAATCAAAGAAGTTGTTGGATAGTTTTAGATTGATATCGTCTTCAAGATATATATAAATGTAATATCCGAAATTAGTTGTTCTAAGAGTCATCTCATTATTCTCATAATCATATGAAATTTCAATATTTGGAAGAGGTAACTCCATATTTAATGGTCTTGAGAGAATCTAAGTTGTAATAAAGAGATAATTTTGTTGATTGTTAGAGATGAAATAAGAACGTAAGTATGTTGTATTAAAGTTGAGATTTAGTCTAGACTGTCTCCTTAAGCTATAAGTTTGCCTACTGTTTGAGCTTATCTGAATCTTGCTTCTTTTCAATCTGTCAATTTAGGTACCATTAAAATCAAGGATTTCTAAATATAAGTCTCCAACTATATTTTTTAAATGATCATTAACTACGCTCACAGTGAGATTTGAGAGAGCAGAATCATTATTGGGATGGATGAAAATAGTAAAGTCCTCATAGGATTTTCTAGCTCTATAGTGTAGAGCTTTCCATTAACCATAAAAATCAACAGAAGCCCAAGAAAAGACTGGCCAAACATCATTTATTTGCCAATATAATGAACCCATGCAGAATGGTTGATTTCTTCTAAGAGCTTCAATTCCAGTATTGACCGCATAAGCTTGCATTATCATTGATGCGTAGACAAGGCTTTCGAAATCTTTTGTGGGTCTATAGTATTTATCCATGTAAAAGTTAAGATTAGGCCAACCCTGAATGTGTCGTTCATGTAGTTACATCACAAAACTTTATTTGTCCCAATCAGAGGCAATTGAAAATTACTTAATGCTGCTCATTGGAATCATACCTTGCATTCCATATTCACTGTTAAATCTTCCTACATGAGTATTATAAATTTCAATATCCTCTTGATTAGCCCAAACTAACCACATATGAATATCCCCAGAGTCAAAATCGTGAGAAGCTGATTAAGTTGGTGATGTTGGCCAATAGAACCTATCGGGATCTACTTCATTAAGTACATTTGGAATAGTTTCGTTGAAAATGTTAAGATACCATTAAAATACTGTCACTCTTTATTCTTCAGTATACAGATCTTACCACCCCCATTCTTTCCAACCAATTAGGACTTCATTATTTCCATTCCACATAGCGATTGATGGATGATTTCTTAATCTTTTGACATTATCAATAGTCTCTCTTGCAATGTTTTCTAAAAATTCTGGAGTACCAGGGTAAAGAGCACATGCAAACATCATGTCATGCCAAATTAAGATTCCTTTTTCGTCACAAATATCATAAAAAATGTCATGCTCATATTAGCCTCCACCCCAAAGTCTCAACATATTGTAATTAGCATCAATGGCATCCTATATAGTCTTATTGTAAGCTTTAGGATTTTTAAAAGCTCTTGGCATAAACATATCAGGAGGTATATAATTTCCACCTTTCATAAAAACTGGTATACCATTTAAATGCAAACCGAAGCTTGTACCATTTCCTTACTAATCTTTTGTCTAAATCCATTCAGCAGTTCTAATCCCATACTTAGTAGTCTTTTGGTCAATCAAATTGCCATCTTAATCTCTGATACTAACTTAGAAGTTATATAGATAAGGATCTCCCAAGTTTCTTGTCCACCATAGTTGAGGATTTACAATTTTAAAAGAGAAGTTGTATTTCTATACCTCATTTACAAATTAGCTAATATTGAGATTATCCCTAAAAATCAATTATTAACTTTTTATATCAAATATTTCAAGAGTATAGGATCCTTTCTAGGAGACTTTAGCCTCAACAAAGCCAAAAATGTCTGCCTAACTTTGATTTTGAATAGCTATTTTTGAGTTTCTGAATAGAAGCCCATCGATCAATACTTTGTCATATGATCTAATCTTTATGGGTTTCCAAATTCCAGAAGTGACGATTCTTGGACCCCAATCCCAACCGTAATGATATGATGCTTTTCTTGAGTGAGAGTAATTAGCTGGTAATACAAAGGGCAAGAAGTTCTTCGCAGCTTCTAAATCATACATAGGAGATGATTTGAAATAGATATTCAATGTATTGACTTTATCTGATTTTAGCTTATCTTTCACATCAATTATCCATGTTCTATGCATATTATTTGTTTAAGCAATCGTCTCTCCGTTTAAGGAAATGTTTGTATGAGTATCCAAACCTTCAAACACTAATTCGACGACTTATTTCGAAAGAGTATGGTTATCAATTGTAAAATTTGACTAGTACTCCCAATCAAGTACTTCAACCCAATAGGTTTTCATCAAATTGTCCCTGTAATATGGATCCTCGAGTAATCCATTTTCAATTAAGTCGAGATGGACTGTGGAAGGTACATTTGCTGGATACCATGAATCATTATGGGCTTATCTAAACATCCAGTGATTATCACCATTTGTGATATCTTAAAATTATACATCCGGAGAAGTTAACTCACTTGAGAAAGAGATAGAAGAGATTATTGAAAATATTAAAAGAGATCTTAGCATCTGGATCCTTATTTATAATAATTTAAAATTTTTTCTCTCCATATCTTACTAAATAAACTAATCTACGGGGTTTTGGGGTTTTGGGG